AAGTTTCACAAAACTCAGAAAAGATTTGGCAGAAGTTACCTGGATGGGATAACTAAAGGATAAATCAGTATTAATCATGCTATGAAGTGTGATCCTGGGGACACAAAACAGACATGTCCCTTCCACAAATAAGAATGGTATTTCCATGTCTTGACATCCATGGTTGTCTTGAAAATCTTACCGATTTGCTTGTTTTCTCATTGTAAATCTCTGCCCCAACTCCATTGCCTCAACATAACCTTTCGCGTTTAGCGATCAGAAGTGCATGCAGCAGGCTACGGCAGTTCTCATAAGGCTTGATACAGTTTTAAGAAAATGTTCTTACATTTCTATCAATAAGGAACGCAGAAAATAGGAGCAGGGATAATCCATTCTGTCCATCCAACCTGCTCCACCAAATTCAACAGGTTTTGCTTCTCATTTTATTGGTAACACCTTTGCCTGTTACTAATCTATCTAATTCAGCCTTGAACACATTCAAACATTCACTCACCTCACCCCTGCCATATCCATCTCGGGAAATTGGATCATAGAACAATACAACACAGAAATAGGCTATTCGGCCCAATATCTCTCGGGCAAACAGGATGCCATTCAAAGCTAACTCCGTCTGCCTGCACATGGTGTGCATCACGGATCTGCCTAAATGTCTCTGACACATTGCTTTAATTGCGTGGCAGCGTTTTCCACTCACCTGCCACCTTCTGTGTCAAAAACATGCCTCGCACATCTTGAAACATTCTTCCTCTCACTTAAATCTGTGCCCACTAATATTTGACTTTCCAACCCTGGGAAAAAGACTCTGACTATTCACCCTATCTGAGCCCTTCATTATTGTGTACATTTCTATATGGTCGCTCTGGCGAAAATAATTCATTTTTGCACACCCTCATGTGACAGCAAAATAAAGCACTGTATGCAACATCCAGTAAACATCTTTTGCTTAATCTCCAAAGCCTCCAGATCCTTCTCATTGTGATAACAAGATGTAAAGCTGGATGAACACAGCCAGCCAAGCAGCATCAGAGGAGCAGGAAAGCTGACGTTTCGGGTCTGGACGCTTCTTCAGAAATGGGGGAGTGGAAGCGGATTCTGAAATAAATAGAGAAGTTGGGGGGGAGACGGATGGAAGATAGACAAAGGAGCAGATACGTGGAGAGGAGACGGACAGGTCAGGAAGGCGGGGATGGAGCAAGTAAAGGTGCGTGTAAGTGGGTAAATAGGATGGGGTTAGGTCAGTCAAGGGAAGACGGACAGGTCAAGGAGGCAGGGATGAGGCTGGTAAGTAGGAGGTGGGGTGGGGTTTGAGGTGGGAGGAGCGGATAGGTTGGAGAAAGGACGGGCAGGTTAGGGCGGCGGGGACGAGCTGGGCTGGTTTTGGGATGCGGTCGGGAGCGGGGAGATTTTGAAGCTTGTGATGTCCACATTGAAACCATTGGGCTGCAGGGTTCCAAAGCGAAATATGTGGTGCTGTTCCTGCAACCTTCGGGTGGCGTCGTTGTGGCACTGGAGGAGGCCCAGGATGGACAAGTCGTCCAAGGAGTGGGAGTGGGAGTTGAAGTGGTTCGTGACTGGGAGGTGCAGTCATTTGTCGCGAACGGAGCGTAGGTGTTCCACAAAGCGGTCTCCAAGCCTTCACTTGTTATCCCCGATGTAAAGGAGGCCGCTTCGGGAACAGTGGATACAGTATACCACATAGGCAGATGTGCAGGTGAACATCTCCTTCTCATTGTGTCGTGATTAGCATTGCATACAATGGGCCAAATATGGCCTGCATAACGACCCTCAAGTTTAACACTCAATGCCCTCTTGAAGAAGAAATTGAAGACAAAACAACACTCTGCGCAATATGTTACAGCCATGAATAATTCCTTCATTTGATTCATCACGTTGGATTCTTGGAGCACATTCGAATTAAAAATGCAAATAATCACTATTTTTCAACTGATTTCTGTTAATTTCGGCAAAAAACAAAAGGCTCATCTCGTGGGCAAACCCCGAACTTTCCGTGTGCAAAGCAAACGTGATGACCAGTACACGATGGAAGCAACATAGCAGCGATCTGCAACTCATAAACCATCAATTATTGTATTCTGCCTGATACGCTCTGATTGAGAGTATTTGGAATTTCATAAATAAGAACTCACAAATGAAAGCAAATACTTTTGCTCACCAGTGAGCGTCATTGCACAGGCCTCCCCCGCTTTAAGCCTGGGTAGCTCAGTCGATAAAACATCTGACTTTTAGTCTGAGGCTCCTGGGTTTAAGTCCTTTTTTGGGTACTGCTTTTAAATCGGAGCTCCACATGCCACAAACCCTCATGGTATTAAAATCAACTTGGATTCGATCTATGTCATGGCCAGTAAGATTGAAACAATCATATGTTGTCTCATGTGGGGTCCTTTTCAACAATATGTGACAACCCACTGAGAGGATATCGATTTCTAGATTTAGCTTTTGGAAATGAAGGTGTTCAAAAATAAAGGACAAGATTAAACAAACAAAAAAGTAAGTTTATAATAGTGTGTTATCTCGGAGCACCAGCAAAAGTGGAATCAATGTGTATATATGACTCACTCAGAGATAGTAAGAACTGCCGATGCTGGAGTCAAGGATAACACAGGGTGGAGCTGGAGGAACACAGCAGACCATGCAGTATCAGAGGAGCAGGAAAATTGGCGTTTCGTATCGAATGAATTTACTGACCCAAAACGTTAACTTTCCTCCTCCTCTGATGCTACCTGGCCTGCTGTGTTCCTCCAGCTCCACACTGTGTTATCAATGTGTATTGGTAGGCAAAGTCTCTGCTGTATGGAGTTATACATGGCATATCAGAAGGTGGCCATGGTTGTTGGAAGTCATTCATCTTAGTTCCAGGATATGTATGCGGGAATTTTTCAGTGTAGATTCCCAGGCACAACCATCTTCAGCTGCTTCATCAGTGAGCATCCCTCCACCCTAAGATCAGAAGTGAAGATGTTTGCCGATGATTCTAAGATGTTCATCACCATTTGTGACTCGACAGGTGCGGAAGCAGTCCATGTTCAATACAACAATATCTTGACTGTTTAAGGCTTTGGCTGTCAAGTGACAAGTAATGTTTGCAAGACAGAAATGCCAGTCAATTAAATCTCCAATAAGATGAAATCCATCAATCACACCTGTACATTTAATGGTGTTATCATCAGTGAATACCCAAGGACCATAATCCTGGGCTTAGCATTGACCAGAACCACTGCTGGACTTGCGATGCAAATATACTGCACAGATCAGAAGCTTGGAAGACTATGATCAGTAACTCACATCATGACTCCCCAAGGTCTTCCATTGCCTACAAGTCAAAAACCATGAGTGTGATAGAATATTCTCCACTGGCCCAGATGGGTACAACTGCAAGAACGCTCAAGAATCTTAAGAGCATTCGAAACAAAGCAGCCTTCTTGATTGTCACCTCATCCACAAAACATCCACTGCCTACATCACCAATACACAGGCGAAGCAGGGTGTACTATCTAAACAGAAATAAAAGAAGATTCCTCAAAAGTGCGCCTCCCAAACCCTCGACAAATTCCATCTGGAAGGAATAGAGGACAGATATGTGGAAATACCATCACCTGCTGTTAACCATCTAAGACTCTCACCAACCTGCTTGCCCTTTTCTATCACAATGTTAAAATTCTGGAATTCCCAATCTAAGGGAAAAGTTGATTTTCCTACAGTACATGAACTGCAGAGTTGAAGTAGGTAGCTCACCACTACATTCTCAATTGTAACTAGGGATCTTCAGAAGATGCTGACCAGCCAGTAATGCCCAAGGCTTACGAATGAATACGAAATAGTGTGTGAAGTGTCAATGATTGAACATATCAGAAATCATGAGAACGATTTGCTTAGGTTAAGTTTTATTATGAAATGGAACCGAGATAAATGACGCATAGACGTTTATCATTGGGGGAAGAATAGTTTTACGAAAATGAGAAGAGATTTATGGAGGTGGACTGGACAGGGCTGATAAAGGATAAATCAGTGTTAAGCACAATATGTAGTGTGATCCTTGGGGCACAAAGCAGACATGTCCCCCCAGAAATAATAGTGACATTGCCACACCTTGACACTAATGGTTGTCGTGAAAATTCAGGGTAAGATTAAACAGAAAGTAAAGCTATTGACATGTCACAATTCTACATAGAATGAGTAGAAAAGAAACAGGAAATCAAAAGAAGGGAATTTAAAAGATTACTAAATTAGGAAAACAAAAAAAAAAACTCAAAGATATTTTGATGGTTGAGAAACTGCAAAAGGCCAGTTCAGGAAAAAAAAACACATGGGTCCTTCAGGTTTCTCTACGATGGAAGAGATATTGTGAAAATTGAAACGATTCAGAAAATATTTACCAAAATGTTGCCAGGGTTGTAGGGTTTGAGCGAAAGGGAGATGCTGAAAAGGCTGGGGATATTTTTCTTCCCAAAAAGTCAGAGCCTGAGGGGTGACATGCTGAAAGTTTATAACATCATAACAGGCATAGACAGGATAAATGGCCTAAGTGTTTTTCCCATGCAGGATAGTCCAAAACTAGAGGACATAGGTTGGCATTTCCACTCTCGAAAAAATACTTCGATTATCCGCCCTATCAATGCACTTCAGGATTGTATACATTTCTATCAGGTCACCCCTTAGCTGCCAATGCTCTGGTGAAAACAATCCAAATTTATCCAAACTCTCTTTGTCTGCATCCTGTACAAAGCCTCCAGATTCTTCCTATAGTGTGGTGACCAGACCATCATACAATGCTCCAAATGTGGCCTGCACCATCACCAACCAAATCTAACACTCATTGCCCCGTAGAAGAAGTAAAAAAAGCACAGTCAATATAACTCATCACTGGCTTAAACAAATTTTTCTTTTGACTCAGAACGTTGGATTCTTGCAGCACATTTGAATTGCAACACGCAAGTAACCACGATTTCTCAAATCTTTATATAATTTGCGCAAAAGGCAAATGGTTCCACTGGGACCCAAACCCAGGGCCTTCTACATGGAAAGCAGACGTGATAACCACTACACCACGGAACCATCAAACACACTCAGGCCCCCCCCCACCACCTCATAAACTATTGGTAACTGTTTTCCTGAAGCTTTCCAATTGTAGGTGTTTGGATGATGGATTTCAGAAATCATAACTTGGTGTTCACATCAGGCTGGATTCTGAAGAACGGCCACTGAATTTGAAACATTAACTGTGCTCTCTCCCCACAGACGCTGCCAGAGTTGTTGAGTTCCACCAGCAATTTCTGTCTTTCTTATTATGTGTACGCTTACCAGGACCTTTAAACAGCTTTGAGACAAAATTGATGTCTTTTGTTTTGTTTTCGGGAAGCAAACCTTCAACATAACTGCATACAAAGCTAACATGAGAGAGAGTGTAGTTGGTGTAGGTTGGGAGACTCAACACTAAAGTTCCCCAAGGATGCGTTCTCAGCCCCCTACTGTACTCCCTGTACACCCATCACAGTGTTGCGAAATTCCAAAGGAACGTCATCTACAAGTTCATTGATGATAGCATCGTAGTAGAACGGATATCTAACAACAACGAGTCAAAATGCAGAAGTTAGATAGCGGACTTGGTGAGGCTATGTTAAGAGAACAACCCCTCTCTCAATTTCAGCAAAACTAAAGAACTGATCATTGACTTTAGAAAGAAAGGAGGAGAACACGCCCACATCTACAACAATGAAGCAGTGGTTGATAGGGTGGAGAGCATCAAGTTCGTCAAACGACAACCTGTGCTGGAATTCCCACATAGACGTGATGGTCAAGAAAGCACGACGATGCCTCTCCTTTCTCAGACGACTCAGGAAGTTTGGCATGTCCAAAACGACCCTCACCAACTTCTCCAGATGCATCATTGACAGCATACTGTCCCGGTGCTAAATGGTCTGGTATGGCATCTGTTCTGCTCAGGACCGTAAGAAACTGCAGCAGATTGTGCACACAGCCCAGACCATAGGGAAGCCAACCTTCCATCCATGGACACCATTTACACGGATCACTGCTGCAGAAAGGCTGCCAACATGTGGAATTCTTTGCCCAGTGAAGCGGTTGAAGCTACCTCGCTGAATGTGTTTAAGACAAGGCTAGATAAATTTTTGAACAGTAAAGGAATTAAGGGTTATGGTGTGCGGGCGGGTAAGTGGAGCTGAGCCTCAAAAAGATCAGCCATGATCTTATTGAATGGCGGGGCAGGCTCGAGGGGTCGGATGGCCTACTCCTGCTCCTAGTTCTTATGTTCTTATGTAACATCATCAAAGACCCACCATATCCCTGTAATGATCTAAATTCTCTTTCATCAGGCAGAAGGTAACAGAAGCCTGAACACACACACAAACAGGTTCAGGAGCAAATTCTTCCCGGCCGTTATTAGAGTGATGAATAGACTCTGCAGCATCAAATAATACTGACCTTGCTAATGTTGATCTCATGTAGTGCACGCCTGTGCAATGCAACCTTTATCCCCTGTGTAAGTCTTTTTCCCACCTCTGATGTGTACATCATTGCTTCCTACAGTCCGTCTGTACTGCCCGTAACCAAGACTTTTCACTGTACCTCTGTACACATGACAATAAATCAATCAATTAGGTCATGCTGATGTAATGCAATTATGAATTCGTTGTGGAGTTTGGGGATGTCACAAGAACGAAAACATGTTAAGAATCCAAAAATGAAAAGGTTAATTAAAAGCAATAGCTGAGTGTCACTGAAGAGCGTTGCCATGTTGAACCTGGATAGCTCAGATGATGAAGCATTGATGTTTTGAGGTGATGGTCACGAGTTCTACACTTATTTGGCCAGTGTTTTAAATTGGAGTTCTACCGTTAAATGTCTTCAACGCATGAACGTTGTTTCAAATCAGTTCACAGGTCTTGAGTGTGTCTTTGGTGCAGGATGCGAGATGAGTCCTTGCCTGTGTAATGCAGTTGGTGAGTGCTGTAACTATGAATACATGTTGAGAATTCTCAAATAAGAAAAGAAATGAAACTGTCAGCTTCTGTTCACCACTTCTCTCTCAAACCTGCTGAGCACAGTCAGTAGCGCATCTGGCTTTTACTGTGAGGGTCCATGGTTTCAGTTCTTGTTCGATTGTTAAGTTTAATTATTTGGTATGTTTACATCATGTTGGTTTCCAACTAAATAACGGACACTGATGTTGAATCAATCAAATCCTATGTCGAGGGCATGTCTTTTTAACTCAATCGATGACCAGTCCTACGAGAGGAGACCCAATTCTGGATTGACTTTTGGGAAATGAAGGGAGGAAAAAATGGTGTGGCATCAAGGATCGCTATATAAAACTGCAATGATTGGGTATCCGGGGCAAACTCTCTGCCATATGGAGTCATACCGGTATATAAGACGATGGTTATGGTTCTTGGCTGTCAGTATTCTCAGCCCCAGGGCATCTGAAATGAAGTTGTGTACGTATTGTGGTGATCAGGGATGGTGTTCAGAAAGGAAGCGTGTGAAATATCCACATGTACATGAAAGGATAAATGCAGACGATTGCAATAAACTCTGTTCACCCTAGAATGTCACTGCAGCTTTAAATGATTGTGAGCCTGGATGGCTCATTTGGTAGAGACTTTTAATTGGAGGGTTCAAGACGCTTCTTTAAAAACAAAGTTAAACACACTGCGAATTGTTAGCATCAGCTTGTTTTCATACGACATAGCAGGTGTTTAGATTAAAGCAATCACATGCCGCCTCCCGGAAATCTTTTTTTAAAATAATAGGCTGCACGCCCAACATGACGAGACCCGATTCTGAATTTAGTTTGGGAAATGAAGATGTGCAAAAATAAAGGATAAGATTTAACAAAAAGAATGCTTATAACAGTGTGGCATCGTGGTGTAACAGCAAACTTGGAATCAATGGGTGTCAGGAGGCAACATCTATGCTACATGGAGTCACAGCTGGCACATAAGAAGATGGTGATGCTTGTTGGAGGCCATTCATTTCACCTCCAGGACATCTCTGCAGGAATTCTTCAGCCTTGATTCCCAGCCAAAAACATCTTCAACTGCTTCATCAAAAACCTTCTCTCTGTCATAAGGTCAGACATGAGGACGTTTGCCGATGATTGCAAACTGTTCAGCACCATTTGTGACTGGGCTGATGCTGAAGCAGTCCATGTTCAACTGCAAGACGATTTGAAGAATTCAAGGTTTGGCTGACATTTGACAAGTAACATTTCCATCACACAAATGCCAGTCAATGAAATCTCTAATAACATTCAAATTAACAACCGCCCCTGACATTCAATGTTCTTACAGTCAGTGAATGGCCAACGGACATTGTCCCAGGCATATTGACCAGAAATTCAACTGGACTTGCCAGACGAACAGACTGTCTACAAGAGCATTCAAGAGGCTAGAAATATCACGGCAAGTAACTCATCTTTTTACTCCACAAAGTTTGTCCACCATCTACAAGGCAGAAGTCAGAAGTGTGATGGAAAACTCTCCACTTGCCTAGATGGGTGCAGCTCCAATAACACTCAAGTAGTTTGACAGCAACTGGGACAAACCAGCCCACTTGAATGGTACCACATCCGCAGATCATCCAATGCCTATCTCACCAATACTCGGAAAAAGCAGTGTGCATTATCCAGGAGGTGCAACGTAGAAATACTACAAAGATCCTCAGAATGCACCTCTTAAACCCCACGGCAGCAGATAGCATAGAGAAATTTTGATTGAAGTTTCAAGTGAAACTCATATATGGAAATCAAAGGCAGTGAATAAAATAAACGCAAATCAGATTTACATGTATATAAACAGCAACAAGAAAGTCAAGGAAAAATAATGGGCCTGTTAGAGAAGCAGAAGGGAACATGTGTGAATATCAAGCGGAAATGGGACGAATTCTAAACATAATTTTGTGGATCTTTATGTAATCTTCGAAATAACTCCACAAAAAGAAACATAAAAGGGTGCTTATTTGGTGCTGGATGGGTGTAGAGTCCGTGCGTGTGAAATCCACTTGTGAATGTATTGTGGAGGTCAGGGATGGCAGTGAGACAGGAAGTAAGAGAGGAATCCGTAAATGCAAAGGCAGATTAATGCAATATCCTCTGTCCGTCAGTGAGTTTCAGCATACTACAGTACTGGAGCGAGTCTGGATCACTCAGTTGGTAGCGCATCAGAATTTACATCGGAGGCTCCAAGTGTTCAGGTCCCTTCTGGGGAGCTGTATTTCAAAGAGCATTGTCTGAGATCACACCAATCCTTAACAATCAGTTCAGGCTAAAAACTTTAAAGCACTCAATTGTGATGTCGATATAACCATTCCACGAAAAAAAAAGACGAAAAAAAAAATATCCAACAAATGCAATTATGTCATTCTCAACGTCTTTACTGTTTAAATAAGACATAATGGAATTTTTAAATTAATTCTGCAGCACTTGTTTAACGGTGTACAAAAGTGAGCTGTGGTAGTATTTGTCATTGAAGACAGGGGCATGTGTGAAAAAAATAAAACTGTGTGGCAGAGTAGAATCTGAAGAAGGCAAAACAAAAGTTGAGCAAATTTCACGTTCCAGTTCAGCCAGGGGCTTTTTGCAGGCTCAGACCCGATCCATGATTGCTGAGTCTCCAGTGCATCAGACTTTTGCATTATGGTCTAGGGTTCATTTCAATATTCAAACGTGGCTGCCATCAACCGGATTTCAAACAACAGAAGGAGGGTTGAGATTGAAAAATACATGTCATGTGAACAAGAACTTATTTTTTAAACAATACGTGATAAGCCCAACGTGACTCCCCAAAGTGAATCCATCGTTTACAAGGCCAAAGTCAAGAGTGTGATGGAATACTCTCCAATTCCCTGAATGTGTGCAGCTCCAACAACATTCAAGAAGCTTAATGGCATCCAAGACAAACCAACCACTTGATTGGCAACACATCCACAAAACATCCACTGCCTCCATCACCATCGCTCAAGTGAACCAGTGTGTACTATCAACAAGATGCAATGCAGAAATAAACTAAGGATCCTCAAAATGCACCTTGCAAAACCTC